ATCGTCTTCGTCGTCGTCCTCCTCCTTTTTTCTTTTTCTTTTTCTGTTTCTTCTACTTCTGATTCTGATTCTTCGGTGAGCGATATATGACCTTTGATGTGTAGCACATTTATTTGCTTTAATTATTAACTATCATTAACCCTTCTCCTTCCTCCTCTTCTTCTTCTTCTTCTTCTTCTTCTTCTTCTTCTTCTTCTTCTTTTTCTTTTTCTATTTTTCTTTTTCTTCTTCTTCTCTTTCCTCCTCCTCCTACTCTTCTTCTTATCATTATTATCATGGTTCTTCCTCCTCCTCCTCCTCTCCCTCCTCTCCCCCTCCTCCTCCCCCTCCTCCTCCTTCTCAGCTCCTTCCACCCCTCCTCCTCCTCCTCCTCCCCTCCTCCTCCTCCTCCTCCCCTCCCCCTCCTCCTCCCTCTCAGCTCCTTCCTCGAGAGTCCTCCCTCCCTCCTTCCCTCCCTCCTGCAGAAGGCGCTGGCGGGGGGGGGGGGGGGGCATCTCGATCTCGTCGGCGGTCGTTGGGTATTGTCCTGCTTGCGTCGTCCTCGAGGGAATGCGCCGTCTCCTCGCGCCCTTAATTGCTTTTTAAAGTGGTTGTGACCGTTAGTCCTTGTCTGCGGCCGCGTCGGGTGCGCCTTCGGGTGCGCCTTCGGGTTCGCCTTCGAGGATGGTAATGTTTATCCGCTTTATTTCTTTCTTTCTCTCTCTCTCTCTCATTCATGATCTCTCTCTCTCTCTCTCTCTCTGTCTCTGTCTCTCCCTTTCTCTCATTCTCACTCTCGCTCTCTCTCTCTTTCCCTCTCTCTTTCCCTCCCTCCCTCTCACCTTCACCCTCTCCCTCTCCCTCTCATCCTCCTCCCCTTCTCCTCCCTCTCCCTCACCCTCTCCCTCGCCTAAAAAAGGGTGCTCCTAATTCAAGATGGCGTCTGGGTGGAGTCCTCACACCGTACGCGGAAAAATATCTTGAGAAAAAAAAACGATTCTTAACCGACCAGATTAATATTAGATCAATAAACTTATGAAAATATAATATCTTAAAGAAGCAGAAGAAGAAGAAGAAGAAACGATATATATATTTATATATTTAAGTCGGTCATTTCGAGAAAAAATAAGAAATAATCTATTGGGGTTAAACGAAGTAGGAAAAGCTAGTGGGGTTACATTAAGAAAAAAAAAATAAATAAATAAAAAAAAGGGAATAAATCGAGAAAATCTATTGGCGTGTCTGATTCACAGCCGTCGACCGCTCTTCAAGGCAACTTAGGGCAGTGTTGCTCTTAATCTCAAGGACAGTCCACACGCGATGAACTTTGAAGCTTGTTAAAAAATCATGCACCAAAGCTCTCGTAATGAAACAGCCAACCTTTCGCCTCTTGGTTGGAGTGAGAGAACAATTACAAAATGACTGTGATGCATATTGGGAGGAATGATCGTTTCATCGTTTATATGCAATGTGTGTGTGTGTGTGGGGGGGGGGTTAGGGGGGGTTGTGTGTGTTGTGTTGGGGGGGTAGTGTGAGTGTGGGGGGTTGTGTGTGTGGGGAGGGGGGTTGTTTTTGTGTTGGGGGGGGTTGTATTTGTGTTGAGGGGGTTGTCTGTGTGTGGGGGGTATCTATGCGCCCACGCGTATATTTGCGTCCATAATATTTACACACAACCACATAAATAAATTAAAAAACAACAACAAATACCAACGAACAAACAAATCAACAAATAACCCCCTCCCCCCGCCAAAAAAAAAAAAAAAAACACCTACAAATACACAAACACACCTACGAACTCGGGTCCCCGTCCGCGAAGCCCGGACCTCAGTGCTTCATGAACCCCGAGCCCAGAGCACAGGTGTTGACTCGTGAACAAAGACTCAACAAAATCAACAAAGCTTGAGTTCTCGCGCGCTAATCTTCGCTGGGCACGAAGTGAAGGTCTGCATTAACGATAACTACCCCATGAAGCGAGATTACCTTTCGCCCAGCTGATTAACTCATTTGTATAGATAGACCAATTATGTTTTTAAGGTTGATAAATAATCAAGTTTATTTGACATCTGGAGCGCGTCGATCATCCGAGCTAAAAAGACCAGTATATGAAAGAGTACGAGTTTGGGTTGGGAAGGCCAGTCGCTCTCTCTCTCATATATATATATATATATATATATATATATATACATATATATATATATATATATATATATATATATATATATATATCGTATAACTATATCGTGTGTGTGTGTGTGTGTGTGTGTGTGTGTGTGTGTGTGTGTGTGTGTGTGTGTGTGTGTGTGTGTGTGTGTGTGTGTGTGTGTGTGTGTGTGTACACACATAAATATATACACATATATAAATACATACATATATATATATATATGTATGTATATATATTAATATATATATATATATATATATATATATATATATACACACACATATATATGCATACATGCATATATACATACAAGTTACTTATGAGTGTGTATCCTTGAACCCATGTGCGCATGTGCGTGTGTGAGCGTAACTTCATCAGCTAAATGTCAAACATGTATTAGTCCGCCCCGCACCGTAAACCCGATATGCATAAGCTCGGGCCACCGTCGAGAGAAAAAGTGCGTCGAGGAGGACTTCGTTTAAGAAGAGGAGCCTCGACGAAGGGGTGGGGGGGGGGGAGATGTGAGTAATAGGTCTCGAGGCGGGGGAGGGGGAAGGGGGGGGAGCGTGATGTGCAGTTGAGGCCGTGGACGAAGGAGGCGCGGGTTTGTTGTGTCTGTTGCAGGGATGTAGGTGTGTGTATGTGTAGGTGGAGGTGCGTTTGTGTGTGTGTGTGTGTCTGTGTGTGTGTGTGTGTGTGTGTGTGTGTGTGTGTGTGTGTGTGTGTGTGTGTGTGTGTGTGTGTGTGTGTGTGTGTGTGTGTGTGTGTGGGCCTGCGCCTGTAAGTTTTTATTTATGCTTGTGTTACTATAAATACCTGTGCCTTTTTGTGTGCAACTGAACACACACACACACACACACACACACATATATATGTCTCCCTACATATCAATAAAACTTCAGTGTTTGCCCAAGTACTCGCGCACTTGCAAGGGTTCCTGACAACATGCACAGACTACGCTCATGTGCATGTTCCTCAGGGGAGAGCAGAACTAACTAACTCGAGCAGAATTCCCTTCCAATTCATACTCAAATAATGGTCTTGCAACACTAGGGGGGGGAGGAGGAGATTAACCAGCCTTTCAACTTTTAACCTTCCCTCCCCTTAAAGCCCGTCCTGGTTCCTCAGAGCTCCCTCGATGAAAGGCAGAAATAGAAAGACATTTTAAGCGAGAGTCAGTGATGGTTTTGATAAGTTTTGTGGTAAGCCATGTCGAATATTATCATCATTATCTTTTTTTTATCATCATTAGTATTTTCTTTTTTTATCATTATTATGATTATGGTTGCGATTCTGATTTTTTTATTGATATCATTATTATTACCATCATTATCTTCAACACCATTATTACACTGTTATTACTATATTTATAGATGTATTCTAAGAATGTATCGATTTTTCACACACACACATATATGTTATATGTTTTATACATATAAATATTTATATATATACATATAGATATACATACATTTATATATATATATATATATATATATATATATATATATATATATATATATATATTTTTTTTTTTTTTTTTTTTCTCTCTTTTTTTTGTGTATGTGTGCATATATATATATATATATATATATATATATATATATATATATATATATATATATATATATATATGTTTTTTTTTTGTGTGTGTGTGCATATATATATATATATATATATATATATATATATATATATATATATAGAGAGAGAGAGAGAGAGAGAGAGAGAGAGAGAGAGAGAGAGAGATACATATATATGTATACTACATTTCCCCTTTCATTAACTCATTAACACCTATACAAACATGTTGCCTTATTATCATACCCTGTGATTTACCAGTTTTAACTTCAATTAGCGTATTTTATAACACATAATACCTTCTATGATCCCAGTCCACAACCCGTAATGAAACTCACGCGCCTTTTACAATCCCTTGCCAGACCAATCTCGTAAAATTGAATAGGCCTATACCAATCAGTCCCCCCTCCCCCCCCCCAATCACCAGCGCCTTTTCCTCACTACTGCATCTTTAACCCACGTGGAAGGTGTTGCATAACCTCTCACTCAAGGCCCCCGACTCCCCTCCCCCGCCCCCCCCCCCTCCCATCGAGTTGCCCCGACTTGCCTTGACTTGCCTTGCCTTGCCTTCTCCCCCCCCCCCATCGAGTTGCCTTGATTTGACCCCAACCCCCCCCCCTTCCTGACATATCCCGACTTAACCTCCCCCCTTACCAAAACTCCCCCTCCCCCTACCCAACCCCCCCTCAAAACCCCCCTTACTCAATCCCCTCCCCCCTTACCCCTCAAACCTCCCCCCTTACCCAACCCCCCTCCTAAACCTCCCTAACCTCCCCCCTCCCTTTACCCAACCTCCCTTCTCCCCCCTCCCCTCTCCTCCCCCTTACCCAACCCCCCCCTCTCCCCCCTTACCCAACTCACCTGCACGGCGGACACCAATGCGCCGAGAAGTACAGAACAGAAGTACTTACCCCCCCCCCTTTCCCGACTTTCCCCCCCTCCACCCTCCCTCCTACCCATCCTCCCCCCCTCTCCCCCCTTACCCGACTTACCCCCCCCCCCGAACCTCACCCCTCAACCCCCCCCCCTTACGCAACCCTCCCCTTACCCAACCTCCCCCCCTTCCCCTTACCAAACCCCCCTCACCCTCAACCTCCCCTTACCCAACCTCCTGCCCTACCCAACCCCTCCTCCCCCCTAACCCAACCTCCCCTCTCCCCCCTACCCCCTACCCCCTTACCCCTCCAACCCCCCTCCCGCTCTTACCCTCCCTCCCCCCTACCCCCTTTATCCTACCTCCCCCCTCTCCCCCCCTCTCCCCCCTTACCCGACTCAC